TCTTTGCCTGTGTTGACCACTGAAGAGAAAGGGCTGGGGTTCGATTCGCGTTATTCGAACGCATCCGCTGCCACCAGTTTTAGGTTTCGGCCCCATGGTATAGTGAGGAAGAGAATGACACAAAATGATTTTCTTTAATAAAGGATGAAACTCGCAACACTGTTCACAATCTGGTCAGTCCGTATAGGGGAAACAGGGGGTTTATATATCCTGGTTCTGTTCTTCCTGTTCTCCCATTGGTCCGTCCCGCGTCGCTACAATGGGGACAGAAACCTCGTGAGCGGATTGGCTCTCAGCCTCCGGCGCGTCATTCAATGCCCGCAGGCCACCACGCAGCCGGAAGTCGCACTACCGGTCACGTGACGTCGCCTCCGCGCCGCGCTCACCACCGTCACTAATATGGCTGCCGCCTGTCATTCCGCTACACCACTATAGAATACCCGAGCCCTAATAGGAGAAAGACCGGTACAAAAGAACAGGCTTTATTGACCAATCAGAAGCCAAAGCCACGCGTCAGGGGCCTTCCATCCGAGTCCCCGCGCTGGCCACGCCGCTCATTATATACTGCATCTCCTCCATGTCCTTCTCTGGTTGGCTGCCTTCCTTTCCCGCATGCCATTGGATCACAGAGAGACACGGGATTGGCTGAGGCCAGGTTGTCCAACATGTCTGCGCCCTAATCCGACGCCACACCACAACCGCACCACAATAGCACACTGCAGTAGTTTAAATGGCCCTTTTTGTAATTGAGCGGATTAGTGACCTGACTGGGGTTCCATCTGATCAGGTTTGAAGGTTTTTTCAATTATTTTTAAGGTTGCTTTTTTTATGTCTGAATTAGTTGCAATTTTTTGTGGCTTTCTTTTGAAGTCATATTTTACCCCTCGAAAAAGCACCTATTTTCATCGACACATGCTCGAAGTCGTTGTGGGAACTTTCGTTTTGTATATATGTTATAAAGAGTAGGTTGACTTAATAATTTGTATTTTCAGGACCACTATGTTGTTATTTCTTCAATCCTTTCCTGCTTACCTTATGATGGTTTATCTCCCTTCACATGTTGCCCAATATGGTGTTTTGGTGTTCACCATGGTTTTTCTCTCGTTTATTCACGTAAATCGCATGATTTTCTCGAATACTTTGCGTCAGTCCGTGGATATCACGGCGTAAGGTTTATTTTGACTTGAAATCCTTCAGTCCACTGATGATCCAAACTCAGAAACTCTCATCATTGGCCTTTAATTTGTCTGACGGTGTTGCTCTCCGATCTGGTAAAGATTTAACGAAGGCTTTGCATAAGTTGCATTCAGTTCAGTAAGTTTCTAGTTTCTATTATTTTCTTCTCTTTCGTGGCCCTCTAAATGTTGGTGCTTTTAGGTCCACGCCCAAATTGCTGCCATTTTTTGGATACCTTCTGTGTTTCCAAAATGTGATAGTTGGTCCATTCTTTTTTTATTCGGACTATTTATGCTACATTGAGGGACGTGAAGAAGACCTAATTGCTGATGATTCTGAACGCGATATTGTTGTAAGTCGTTATCCCAATATTAATTTTCAGATCTTGGGAGGTCACTTAACCGCCTTTTAGTTCCGATTTTCTTATTAATGTTTGAAAGTAGGTTTTGCTTGGTTATATATTTTTAACAGCTCATTTCGTTTATATCTGTTCTTATATATCAACACCTATTCTTTCCCATTAATTTAAAACTGGTGATTTGCAAGTAAACTGTATTTTTTTAGGTGAAACATAAAGAGTATATTCGTGAAGCCAAGGTATGCTTTGTTTTTTGACAATCTTCATTCCCGATAATGTTTCAAAATCGTGGAATTTCACCTTTCCTTATTTGGCTGGCTTTTACTTCATCCTCATTCAATATGTTTTAGATTTGGTTACAAGTTGGTACTATGATTTCATTTATTATGCAGCCTCGGCCATAAGTGTATAGTAGTGGATGTAGTTTGTACTTATATATTCTGGTCAGTCTGTTAGATTTTCCTTCAGTATGTTAAAGGCCTCTTGAGAATGATTTATTGTTTCGCATTTGCAAAGGTCGCTATTGGACACAATCCGTTCAGTAACAACGTGAAGATAACTTAATAGATGTGTATTATTTACGTAATATTTGGTCTGAACGTCCAAAAATTATCACAGATAGATCTTGATATCGGCCGAATTACTGTAGGGCATGTTATACGTCTAAATTTACGTGGTCATGGAATCGACCTGGATTTATGGGACACAAAATCTTCACTTGCGAAATTGTATGAAGTTGAAATAATGCGGGTTCTATGCTTCTTAAGCAAAAACCGGCACTCGTTATTTATCCAATAAACTGTCCGATATGGACGGCAGGCTATCGTCACATATTATTGTTTGGTGGATGGTGTAGGGCGCTTAGGCGGGTAGTAGCACAATCTTATGAATTTTACTGTTGTGTATATCAAGTGGCTAGGGTCGATGCTAATTCGCCAGGTATAAACTCGACGTGGCTTGAATCTGTAACGCTGCCTTGCATCCCGTCAAATTTCTTAGTTGGTGACCTGTGCGCTCTTATTTGTTGCCCCAAATTCTGTGGTCAAATAGATTCCTGTGATATCTGTTTATATTTATTAGATCGGCCGCATAATCATAGAATTTAAATGTATATTTTTTGTATTGGTTATTCATTGTCCTTAGGCCATTACTCTGGTAACATGTGATGACTGCGGAACAGCAATTTTTATCATTATAAGAGGTGGGCACTATGAGCGTACTGTTTGTACTAAAATTTTATTCTTGATACGTGATATTCGGCTTTGTAATGTTTTGTGTTGCTGAATACTTTTTCATTGTTTTCGAGATTTTCATAACAACATGTTTTAACTGACAGATTAGATTTCACAGGGCTCTCATCACAACTGTGTGTCCTGATAGAGCTGGTTCCAAAATATGTCCTTCGTTTCTTAGTCCGTATCTTTTTTTTGACTTCAATACTATGCTTCTCTCTCACCGAACGCCCGCACATGCGTATCGACCCTACCGTATGGTTTACGAATTATTTCTCCTTTTAGGTAGCTCTTAAAAAGCAGGCGTTCTTCTGCGTATTTCACTTCATTCTTGCATTTTATGCCTCTGGCCGCTTTGTACCCGAGTTCCTCACATGTAAGTCTTCTCTATCAAGCTCTTTGTCCTGTATTCCAATTAAGCGCTTTACAAAAAAAAACATGGAGGCGAAATCTTTTACCCAATTTATTCAACATTGGTGCATTGACCATTAGGTCGTGCGACGCCACCATGTCCCGATTGCCCTTGTAACAGATCGCATCGATAGTCCACCGCTGACCGCCTTCCTTCATTGTGTGCTACTAAATGAAATGAGTAGATAACGTCTGTAAGACGGTAACGCAGCTAGTGTTGCGTTTACCAAAATACTTTGTTATTTTGTGCTCCAAACCCTAATGACTCGGCGTTCGCCTTACTTGTTTGTCAATTGGAGTTGGGTTCGAGTTTCACGTAATCAGTTCAGTCCATTGACAGTCGCACATTTTAGAAATTTCTGGGGTTCAAAACGTACTTGGGAATCAATAAAAAAATAACGCATGTGAGCACAGAACTAAGTTTTCCGTCCCATATAGATTTATCAGGATTAAACGTTCAAGTAAAATTATTTATCTGTATATTTAGTCAGGTATTAAATACTACTAAAATCTGTGTTATTAAGCGGGAAAACGCTGGGTTATTCATTATTTCCCATCAAGTGTGTCGCATTCTATGATCATTTAAGCGAACGTTTATTAAAGAATTTTTTTTGTAATTGAGCGTTAATCGGTCGAGGGTGCACGCCGACTTGAAACAAGGTATAAACACGTTATTTTCTTTTCAGCTGACGATTTCGTGAGACTGGGAATATTCCGAAAATACTTTTGGCTCACAGTGTATGGTTTCTACCTCAGACAAAGGTTTTACTGTGCCTGGTCTCTCAGTAAGTCCTAAGTCATTATTTCACATGCATCTCCACCGATTTATTTGTGCTAGGCTGAATTTTCGGTTTTGATGGTGGACTCAAACGAAAGCTTTAATTTTCGTCCCATAATTATCGGCGGGCATTGATGTTCAGATTAAAAGAATCGCATTCGTTTTAGTTCCATCAAGTTGATCACTGTTATATTACCTAAGCGAGTTAATGAGGGCCTTATCAGCATGCACATATCTGGATCTAAAAAGTTGTTATTATTGAAGATGCGTACCTCCAAAGTTAACTTTACTAATTTTTCATCGGCTAATTTTTTGTTTTGTGAATACCGACCCTGTGACCCTGTTCCGTTCCTAAATGATCAAACCTTCACTTTATGTAATATCGTTCGCGTTCCATTTTTATACTAGTGGTTCCAGCCATTAACTAACGTGGAACCACAGTAAATGCGATACCAAGGTTCTCGTACTTCGCAACCACCAAAAATGCTTCATATTGTGTTGCTCTTTTCTTTTAAGTGCTGTTACGGCAAGGTGAATACGATTTCGGAAGTGCAATGATGTCTTGACTCTGTTTAACATCGGCATCATCTTGTCCACACGACGTCGTAAAGCCTTTATTAGGTATTTTATTTTGGGAATCGTTAAGAGTGGGAAAACGCATCTTGTGCTTTCTCTTCCTAGGCGCACTTGCGATGCTGATTTCTGGGTTTGGATTTTCCGGGTTCACATCAAATGGAACTTTGGAGCCAGAGTATCGGAACGCAGTCAACGTTCGTTTTTTTGGAATCGAGGTAAAAAGTTTCAAACCATATCATTGCTTTTAATGTTATTCCACGAACCAATATTCATTAGTTTGTAGTGGCTTGAGTTTAACAATACCTTACAACCCTCTTGTTAACAGCCCGTAACAGTTCGAGAAGAAAGGAAAAACCGATGATGGTAAAAATTACGATTATTTTTGCATTGGCTCTGTAATCACCACAGGGTCTCCTGGGGGTGACTACATGGGTATTTACGGGCTTGTGCCTTGTCACCAAGCCGCCGATGGTACCAACATAGGCCAGATCGTTCTCAGGATTGGCTGGATCGGCAAAAAAGTAATGAACGTTTTCGATGTTACGGATGTCTGTAGAATCTCGGGTTACCTCTAGTAAATTCATCAAGTTTCATTGACAGTTTGTCCAGTCATTCTTCCAACCTATTGATGCTCGAATCGTAAGTGTTAGCTGTGGCGCCAGAGGAGACAGTTTCATGACCCAGTCCCTGGGAAAACACTCGTGGGTTTTGTCGGCTACCTCAGCGATTTTCTCCAGAAGTGTGTCAGAGGTCTGGATGGAAATTACAAAACTGGTGTTCGCGGGGAGACAGCCCATAACTGGCGCAGGACAGAGTCAACGACCTTGTTATCTCCGGCAAGATGGCGCATGTGCCTAAGAAGTTACGAACGAGACGTGTCGCCTAGTTCGATACCAGAACGGAGGTATCGAAGATGGGTTTCGTCCGAGTAAGAAGAGAACTTTAACTTGTCATGGGGTTTTTCCCGGGGGAATTGTTTCAATCAGACCAATAACTTTGGTTGCGACTTCTGTTGGTAGTAAAGAAACATGTAGGTATTTTGAAGACTGAGAAGCAACCTTCAGATTGCGAAATTGAGCTTCAATCTGCATAAACCAAGTTCGAGCATTGGAGCTGCAAGGAGGAAAGCCGACGGAAATGCTGTTTTCTATAGGGGAGTGTACAGCAGTATGGTCAGACATTGTAGACAAAGAGGAGAGTTGGGGAAAAAAATTCGACGAAAATCGCCGGCCAATGGGGTCAAAACAAATATGTTTTCGTTTGTTGGGGTCATCAAATGCAGTAGCTTGAGTTTAATACTACCTTGCAACCCTGCTAATCGACAGCTTGTAACAGCTCGAGAAGAAAGGCAAGACCGGTGACAGCGAATATAACGCTTCTGTTTACATTTGACCACCCAAGCCCTTTATAGCACAGCGCTTGAGTGCATCTCGAACGTCAACTGTAATCGACGGTCGATGACACTCGATCAACTCGTGAACTCGCTTAAATCACACTCGTTTTATGAAAGTTTACTACAAGTTGTTATCTTTAACCCACGCGCGTTACTTTATTGCCTCGATGTAATGACTGAAAATTAGACTAACTGAGGCATTTACTATCTACCAACGATTGGCGTGACATAACTTTCACAGTAACCTGATAATGTGCTCTGTAATTTAGTCCTGTAACGCTATTGAGGTAGCTTCTTCAGCTACCCAATGCTATTGCGATAGTGTGATTTCTACTCAAGGTACTTCTACTCTTGACTAGTCGTGTGCTGTGCATTAGAAAATACCAGATCAAGGTGGCGGTGCGAATGTCTACTTTTGGATTCACGCAGCTGGGATTGTGTATTTTCAAGCGAACCTGTGCTTTCCTTTGCACATCTACTCCAAAACGTGCTATCGTCAGCGATAAATGCAATTTAATGTTACCTTTTTTGATAATTCTTAGACAGACATAAGTTTTTTTCAATTGGAATATTTAATTGTGAACTTCCACATAAGCTCCTTACGGGACTTTTCTGTCTTTTTACCACCTAATTTCCTTTTTTTGCAAATGATTTTAAATTGTAATGGGAGATTGTCATGACTTTGACCGTCCTCAAACCCCAGGAACAAGCAGGCCTTTGGTTTTGTTCCGTTGTTACACTCTTTGTCCTGACTTTGAAGTTGGGGGCCAAATCGCTTTTTCTAATAGTTACCAGCACAGTCTGTTTTCTTTTTGAACGCCGAGCCGAATATTTTTAGTGTATTCTTGATAATGAAACCCAAAGGTGTGTGACAAGTAATCAGTAGCTGACGTGGTTTGGGTGGTTTGCGTAGGTAGCAAGACACGGATTTTGCTATCAAACTGATAGTTGAATTCGAGTTAAAATATTTTATGATTTGCCAAATTGTTAGTAATTTTTTTTGCCAGATGGATAGATGTTATCATGAAGTCATTTGCTTTGGAGATAGACTTCATTGTCTTTTACTAATCCAATGTTTTAAAATGACGTTGATATTGTTTTTAGTCCACCAACCCAAAAGGTATCAGCCATCTCTTGTTTTATAAATGAATGTACGGGATTGACGTCTTTGCTATGATTAACGAGCATTAATCAGTTAACCATTCTGACAGGGCTCTTATTGGTTTCTCTAAAAACCTCGAGTCAGTCTATGCATTTTGGCGATTCGTTGACAGTTCTGTTTCTGACACGCTTACATGCTTATTTATTCCTTGTGAGCGTGCGAATAAATGTGGATAATATGTTAGCTGAATAATCTGAAATATAAGATTTTCTCAAGTGTAAGACAGACTTTTAACCAGTCAAAGTTTCCATCCTCTTCCTTATTATCTTTTGCGTCGCTTCCACATGTGTGCATTAACCCTTCGTTTCCAAGCCATGGGTTGCCCCGGTTTTAGGGTTCTTCATAGTTTCGCTCGCCGCGGTAATTGGGCTTCAATCAAGTTTATGCTGATATAGAACTGCTGGCTACTAGCTCCTCATGCCCTTTCAAACATTGCAGCGTCTCTTGTCGCAAATAGAATTCTCCAATAAAGTGTTTGGTCATTTTATGTCAATTTAATTTGGCCATTATCACAATTCAATGGCTTTTGGCGTTTCCCGCCATGTGAAGGGTTTTATGCAATCACACGTCGTTTTTCCGACGGAAAAGGTTTTTTCTAACACACCACGAGAAGAGTGGCCTATGCGGTACGTCAAGGGGCGTTGTACTCTCTCTCAGTGAACACCCCAACCACTTACGCGATGTGGTGCGCACACGCAACTACATACAGCTCCGATTTACATTCCACAGGCAGCGTATTCTCTTGGGTTCTACGGAGATTTGACAAAAAGTAGTCCATTTTATGTTGTATGTTACCCTCATTCGCTCGATTCTATATCAAGTCTTTTTGCCTCCCTAGCGTATTCAAAGGTCTCTTTACGACTTCATTATTCGTTACCAGTCCCATATCCTGACAAATCATAGATTCAAATTAGCATGGTATCGTGGGACACTATTCAATGGCTCTTAAGGTTCGTTGTATTTTAGTGCATTTGCTGTTTAATTTCCGCATAATGTCACTCTTCCTGCTTAGTTGCTTCCTGTTTCCGTAACTACTTCCTAAAGGCAAGCTATACCATTGTCATCAAATAAATCCTATGCCAAGATTGATTGCTGTGTCACTTTTGGAAAGTAAACAGATGGTGGTTAACAGATGGTGGTTGCTTCCCTACAAAAGTTGTAATCTACAAAACATTTTTCTGAGGTGTAGCTTCTCCTTCCATGACACACTGTTGGTTAGCGCTTTTTTTACTGCTGGACTACATTTAGTACCTGCGTTCTCTTGGGTAATATGTCCTGCGTATTTTTTAAGTGACTTCCCGTTATTCCTTTGACGGTAGTTAATCTAATTCTCGAATTTCCAGACACCCTGTTTAGTCTAGGCTTAACATACTACTCCCCCGGAAAACGTTTTCATATAATTGTCCACCGATTCAATCCATGTTAATTTACTCTGCAATTTCCTTACGTTTTTTGTGAGATATTCGACCGAGGATCATCAGAAGATGCTCATGTTGTATTCTCATGAAGTACATGTTCAATGTTATTTGGGAAGGTGTCATTTTTAGGTACTAAGGTGTTATGTTTCTACATAGTCACCTTTTCATCCAGTTGCTTCAAGTCAGTGATTAGCAAATTCCTGGAAAAGCCGTGGGTGGTGGGCCTGCTTTTGTAGCGCCTTGATACAAGACATTACAGATATGATCGCTGTACTTACGATGTATTGACAAAACGATGGTGGTGGTGTTGAGTGGCACATTTACATTTTCAGTCATTGAATAAACTTCTCTTGACAATACAGCACCTATTAGTGGTTTACGGTATTCCCAGGGAAGGATTCTTTTCGTTCTCAACTATTCCTATTTCCCCATCTTCGTTAAACAAAATTGATTATAGTATTTGTGACATTACTCATCGCCATTCGAGCTCTCCGCTACTTCAAGTGCGGTACATTCCAAAGGGTCAGGGGCATTTGCCATTTTCTAATTAAAGATCCTGCCAAGCAAAAAAACAATCGTAGTTATAGTTATGCCAGTATGCTTCCCACGATCTAAAATCAGTGGATGAAAGTCGAATTTTTCAAAGGGGCTTTTTGTAAGATTTTAAAAAGACCAGCGCTCCGACAATGTTGTTACTATGTTCGTTTGGCACGTTCGTCGTCCGGCTCCCCTAGTAATTACGCAGCAGGTATAAACCGTCGCTTTGCACAGTGCTAAGAGTGAACCCTTATGCAGTGTATCATCAATGCCACTTTGGCAAGTAAAATGCGCTTGGGCCTCTTTCATTCCTGTGATAAACCGACGCTTGTGAATGGGCATTTGCTGCGGGTAATGTAGTCTTATCGTTAAGCCGTGAATAGACCAGTAGTCTTTTGAACCAACACAATGCCATTACAAATTACATCTTTAAAGGATGGCATTGACGATGTTATCTTGAGTGCCTCCGTTTGTCTCCATTAGTTAGGTACCAACACAAAGGTCATTCTGGA